TTCGCCAACTACTATGGTCATTGAGGCCGATGAGTGATCTAATCAATAGATGAAGCTTCAATAAGGGATAATGAAATAATAAAAGATAATAAAAGATTCAATAAGGGTAATGAAATAATCAGGAAATGAGAGGCAGGGGAAACGGGAACAACCCGAGAAATCTATTCATATGTATTTCTTAATGACAATAGCAGTTGAGACCCCTAAAAAGCACGAAATAATGAATGAACTCGATTACGAATTACATATTTAGCAACATATTTCATTTTTAATAGCATCCACGCATTTTAAATTCGCGTGTTACACTAAAAAAATGAATAATAAAATTAAGAAGTTCGCTTGCCTCATACTGAGCATTACTGAGATACTTCCAAGTATTTAACTGATTCGATTGATGAAACCCCCTTTATTGTTTCGTTTTGACACTTAAGAGGAGACTGATGATTGTATTTACGTAATGAGAAGATATTTTGCATGACATTTTGATGCATTTAACTTAATATGCCACTTTTTGGCCCATATGACTCCCAGATAAAGATGATTTGGAAGCCTAGAAATTGTTTAGTACTAGATTCCTGTCAATGCTGTATAATACAGAATTATCGGCAAAGAAAGCAACTGAATTGCGGAATTGTGATAAGATAGTTTGGTGAAAGAATTATAAAGGAAGACTCCAGGAACTTTTAAAATCATATTTTTCAAAGTATTTGTAGAAATACAAGATTCATTTCAAAATGCTTGTTAATTTTTCATGTATTTTTATTCTTATACGTTATTGTGTCTTGTAATATAATACCTCAGATTTACATAGCGCTTTACTAGCAAAAACTATTGGTTCTCAGCAAATGTGGAATGGTGCTTGAATTTACATGTTCGTTGCATAGGAGTGCGTGTCTTCCGCAAAACAATAAAATAGGATTCGCAGTTATTTATTTCCTTAACTTGAAAACGACGAAATACAATTGTTTTAGTTACTTTGTAATGCGTTTTCAACAACAAACGTTTTCCTTGAGTTATCTGAAGGTGGTAACCAAATTGGGAATTTTTGTAAGGCAGGTGCCAAAAAAGGGTTATAATTCAATAGAATGAAGGGTATGGAATCCCCAAAATTCAGAGCAGTAGTATATATTAAATAATAAGATAATCATGTAAGTTAATTAAAGTAATGTGTAATAAAATATTTTTTTCAACAGTATTCTCATAGTTTATGCATAAAAGTGAATGTCTGGTATGCTCACCTCCAGTGCACGTTTTATTGGCTTTGACATCCAAGTGAACACTCGAGTTTTCGTATTAGTTATGCATTTTTCACTAAATTCATTCACTTAAATCGAAAAAATAAATCTTTGAACAACGATATCTTGAGATTCACATCAGCGTTGCCCGATGATTAATTGTACATCCCTGTACCAATCTTCAAAAATCCTAGTGCATTCACTAAAATTCCTGGTACCAATGACAATTTAAATTATAAAATCGTACATATTTATTATGTTTTTAAGGTGCACAGGAAACGTTAAACTTAATATCGATACATTTTAAATCAATACACTAAATGGAAGGTTACGTCCTTCTATTGTTTTCTACTATAGCATGTGCTAGAAAAAGACCATACTCTTAATGTTATGGCAGTGTTTTCACCAAAATCTTAGTTATTTGTAATACGGATGTTAGTTTTAAATTATTGAATTAAAACATTATTATATGAAACTTAAATTATACATTTTTAATTACCATAGACTAAAAATCTTGGATTTAAACGTACCAGTATGTCTTCATTCTGGTACACAGAATCGTCATTAAAATTCTGGTAAAATACCAGGATCATGGTACGTCTGGCAACACTTATTCACACACACAACTGCTTGCTCACACAGAGGACAATAAACAGAAAGTAGAACTTTCTTCCAGGAACACCATTTTTTCCACAAAATAAACTGCACTCATAAAGTAGACATTTTGAATCAACAGACCCAAAATTTAATGAAAGTGATGTTACCAAACATTCTAAATAATTTATTCAATGCCGGCAATAATTGACTGAACTTATGTACTTTCATTAACGCGCGCATTTTTACTATTAAATATTCCCAGGGCTCTTAAATCTAAAACTGCGGCGCTTTCTAATGTATCGTTGCAATACTAAAGCTCACGAAGAATGACCAAGTCGCAATGTTAACACAGAGATCACGCAACTAATCGGGTGCCTTAGGATTTGCTATATTAAAAATCACTATGAGAATGAAGTCACATCAGTGCCTGGGTTTGAAGAGAGAAAGAAAAATGGCGCTATTTGATTTCAAAAATACTTCGTCGATCGATATTACTGCAACATTTCGATTAATGAATGACATTGAATAAAAAAGACATATACCTAACATATGATAAGTATTTTACAATAATTATCCGGGGGTTTGGTAACCCGCACACTCACTTATGGAAGTTTAGTGTGTATTTTGCGTTGCTAAAATTGTTCATTCCAATCTGAACAAACTGTGTGCGAGGTATTGTTGTCTGAATGTTAATGTTGCTGAAACGAATGAAAGATATTTACTGGAATAGCATCACCAAACCAACGACGAATTCACTCTCTACACGATGGTCAGTAGAACACATTGAATTGGTTGATTTGAAACTCTAATAAACATAAACTTGCAAATATACATTATTTACATAATGTACATAACATGTAAGTGTACATAATCATCTCTTCAATTTGTATAAAGTAAATTAGTGATTGAATTAGGGACAGAAGTCGTGGAATTGTAAATTAATCCTACTGTTCATACAGTAGAGTATTCCGCATATGCTTATTGTGCTGCATTCTATTAGCGTTGGTGATTAGTACCACGAAACTATATAGGAATGCCTGCAAGTTTTAGATGTTGGCTTTACATCCACATCCCCAGAGATGCGTCTATGGTCTATAGATATACCGTTATTTTTACTAATGTATCGTAAAGTCTGGCAATGGAGAACAGGATCAATAGAGGAAGTGTGTGGAAAAAGATAAATGTAGTGAATGTATACGAATCCAGCCCAAGGCGATCTATATGAGATGTGTCGGTAAGTTATTGATGAAACAATAACTTAAACACATCCGAGGGAAAGTTTGAACTTCAAAACAAAACTGTTAGGGCATACGTACCTCGTAACCGCCATTGTAATATTTCTATATTTTAAATAATAAAATACATATTTTTTCATACAAATTGTATTCATTAGAATATAGTTCGAATATTAAAAGAGTTTCATTTATGTTGGAATTCAGAAGCGAAAAGAGTTCGGCTTGGCGTCAGGCATAACCATGCTGTCACGTTCTTCTCTTAAGAGTTCAAGTGTTAAGAAAGAACATGTCCCTGTTATTATCCCTTGCCCGTTCAGCCATATTTCCTTCGCTGAGTTGCAATTTTTGTAATTTCTCATAGGCAAGCCTTTAACGTACTTAACAACTTTAAACAGTCGTTTTGAAGGAAAGGGCGCCGTACTAAAAATGGCTGGTGACATTAGAGCCCCATTAGAGACATGGCGTCTGAAGACACAATTAAAACTCGGCCACTCTTCAGTTATTTGAGGCGTTGCTCAAAAGCGGCGCCGTGTACTTGCAGTCGGTAGTTTGACGGCGACACCCAGTAATATACAGTAAACATTTGCTCAGTCAAATTTAATCTCCAACTTAATTTAATAGAGACAAACTGGATAAGACGTCTTGGAAGGCTCGCGAGAAAGTAGTGATTTGTTTCCCGTTCGTAAATATTTGCTTTTAAGGGCGTTCCTCCAGTACAAAATCGGCGGCATAGTTTACCTGCAGCTGGTAGAGCGGAGACGACAGTGGCCTGGTGGGGGCGCGACTAACTAGTTTGCCTCTCTTTTTTTAATTATTTTATTTTTAATTCTGTTAGTTGCGTAACAATGTTCCTAGCCTTTTTGGCGTTGAACCCCAGGAGTAATTCTAATGGAGCATAAATCTGTAATAGATCAGATCAATTCATCTATCGTTACCTGTAATCCCTATTGGCCGCCAGCGCAGTTTATATCCGAGTGTTCCAGACGGACACCAATTCAGGAATCCACGGCGTCTCAAGCGGTTTAACTATAAAAAGGCACATACGTCATGACTCCCACAAATCGGTCCAGAGTACTTTTATTATTGCTGGCGTTCCTCAACAAGGAAATCGGTGAGCCAACCTACTGGCGGCTGGCAGAGCGGCGGACTGGCGGTAACAGTGTTCTAGAATACGCGCGACAATCTAATCATCCGTACCTCGTTCGTTAATCTTCCATTATTGGAGGAGTTCCCTGATCGGCGGCTTATCCTACCTGCGACTATTAGTGTGGCAGAATAGCGATAATGACGATCTGGAAAGCGCGCATTAAACGAATCCCTGGCCTCTTGTTCATTAATACTTTAATTGATGGATAGTTTAGTGATTCTGGGAAAGTCAACTACCAGAGTCATTAGTCTCGTAAGTGTAATGAATGTTTTTGTCGAGAATTGACGGTGATTTTTCCCCCGCTGTATGGCGAGATTCGGCGCCGACCTACCAGCGGGTTTTTTCTCAATCAGGTATCACCCACCAGCGGGGCACTGCCTCAGCCGGGACAAGCTCGCAGCTCCTAACGGGTCTCCCGGCAAGTGTAGTGCATGGAAGTGTGTGTGTGTGTGTGTGTAAGGGGTAAGGATAGAATAAGGAAGAGGAAGGTGAGATCACGTGCGATCTGTGGCCGGTTGTTAGGTCACTGCTCCGGCATTCGCCTGATTTGATCGGAGTAACCACGGAAAATTACCGACCATAGCAGCCGGCCGCTAGAATTTCCTCCAGACAGCAACTGAACTCGACCTAGCTAACAAGCCACCGTCGGGACTCGAACCTAGGACCAGTCAGAGGGACTGCAGTGCCATCAAGGCTCTGCCATTGATGCCCACAGCCATCTCTCCCGGTTTAATACTTTCAATATTGGAGGCGTTCCGCAAGAACCAAATCGGCGGCTTAGCCTACCTGCGGCTGGTAGTGTGGCGGCATGGCGGCGACGGCGTCCTGGAAGGCGCGCAGGGCGTCGCGGGGCCGGCCGTCGTCCATGGCGAGGCGCCCCAGCTGGAAGCGACAGGCGGCGCGCGCCAGCTCGTGGGCGCGCGGGTCCTTGGTTCGCGCCCCGTGCAGCGTCGCGCACGCTCGCAACGCCGCTTGCGCCTCGGCGCCGCGCCCCACGCGGTGCAGCGCCAGCCCCAAGTTGAGGTGCGCCGCTGCAACACAACGCCGCACACACTTAAGGTACAGTCTGAATCGGTCTAGGACAACACGAGTCAACCTCCACCAATTGGGTGCGTTCGATTGAGTGGTTTCGGACGGGTCAATCGGAACCGTCACGGTGCTCCGCGCTGTGAAGCGTCAGCCCCAGGTTGAGGTGCGCCGTACACACTTCCTGGTGAATTGGTCCAGGGCAACAACACTTGCCACTGCTGCGACTCAATGAGATATCATGTTCTGGGAGAGGGGGAATTAGAAACACATCAATTTGACCCTCCACCCTTGGGTGGGATTGTTTTCTCTGATCATCATCGGACAAATGTCAGAGCAGTGCCGTAACAAAAAAGTCACTGGTCGTGCATCATCAATTGAACCCAAAATGGGGGTGTAGATGGATTCCCCCCCCTATATGATGTCACACATTGACAAGTCTATTTTTTACTATATATACATTACAATGAGAAAGCATAGTCTGCTTGACTCCCAATAAAAAATCGGTGTTGCGCTACTGCATAACCATCCTGCAGGTGTACGGTATTCGCGTACACTAACCTTTTGGGAGCTGTGTCTTAATCAAACTATTGAACCCTAAAATATTAAAATATTGAATGAAAGTTATTACAATACACACGAAAATAAAATAATTATTTTCTCAAATTTAAATACAAACTTCAAAAACAAAATATAAGTATAATCTAATGTAATATTGTTCTAGTTACGTGAGACAACATTAAAAAAAATTAATAGTTATATTTTAAAATCTTAATTAGATTATTTTTTGTATAGAAGTATATTAAATTTTAAAACTTATTTTCATATATTTATGAACAATATACAATACTTTTTATAAATAAGCATGGGAATTATGCGTTGGATATACGAGTAGGTTATATGCAATTTTCATTCATGTCGTGAATTAAAGAACACCACAAAAGATTTTCCCAAAACACGCCTTAATTGTTTCCCCTCAAAAAGAGCGAAGTGCGCATAATAATACTGCGAAGGTCCTATTTTCTTATAAATTCCAAAAGTTTCGATAATTGCAGTAATTAAGTTTTCTTTTTCGTGCACGGCACTTTCATTCATTCAGCGAACAGGCGGGTGGTATAGTAAATAAATAGGTAACGTGTCCGGTGGCCTAGTGGATAAATAGGCTATACACCTAGTTCCAATCCCGGGTGAACATTTTTTTTCGGTTCTGTGCCTGTTTAAATATTTTGTAACAGTTACAAATAATCCGGGAAAATTTGTGCTGTTGTTGCAGCCAGTTTCAGTCTGACGTTTTCATTTTCTACTTCATGAGATTCCACTCAAGCTCAACTTCTCCTGTGGAGTGGCTTGTCCCATCGACATGACGTCAGTGCGTTCTTCTGTGTCTTGAGTCTTACAAAGAGGGCTCTCGGAAGGAACATTCCTCCGGCTTGGGAAGGTTTGCTCTTTTGATACAATGGACATGCCTAAACTACGAATAATACTTCTGTCTACTTGACAGTTCTCGGCTGACAGGGGAGAGGTGGTTCCGTTATCCAGTCAGAATTGCCAACGTTTATTAAGAAAAAATATCTCATAGCGCGAAGCAACTGCAAATTGAAGAATTACTTGTTTGGTTACTATTACTTCTTTGGTTATGCATTGTGTGTGCGGTTCTGTGTCATCTGCATTTGGGTGCTCTTATTGCAGTTTGTTACTTGCTAATGTTAGGATCTGATGCAAGAATGACCACACGACTACGTACGTATCTACCGCCCGAGTTAGAGATAACATAGCTCTACACCCACCCCAGCTGGCATATTGATTTTTAATGGCGATTGTATTATTTCGCAAAGTGTACAAAACCAGTTTCTGACATCTACATAAACAATTAGCAATTGATAGATAAAAAAATAGGCAGAAGCACATTGATTCAGAGTTAGAGGAACCTACATGTAATTCAAGATAGCAATTCGTTTACCATGTGGCGATCATTTAATTCGAAATAGTTATTCATAATTTTAATGACGGTCTTTAATTAGTCTCTTCAACTTTTTTCGAGATAAAATATAAACAAAATACTTCAACTCTCTTCGGACACTGGAATTTAACTGAACTCAAAAATATATTTTCTTTTGCTGATAACTGATTTCTATCCAGAATATTGTTATTTCAATATCCTTCAAAGTTATCTCTTGTTTCAAAATTTCGACTCTATCATCTTGAAAAAAGTTCATATTTGTGTCTCATTTCTTCATGACAAGGAAACGTCAACTTACCAGCGAGATGTGGTCGAAACGCGATGGCAGCTTGATAGCTTGCTATTGCTTCTTCCCAGCGCTGGGTATTCTGCAGCAAAATGCCTCTGAAAAATGTTTCAAACAGTAAAGAATGCATCAAAATTTTTCAAATAGACTATGTATTTGACTATTATAATCTAAGTATAATATTATATAATATAATATCATATAATATAGAGAGAGAGAGCAGAGAGGAGAGAGAGAGGCGGGGGGGAGAAAGTCACTAGCAATATCCGGGAAAAGAGGACGAACGAACCTTAACAACAAAACACCTTAGTAAATAAAAATGAACAGTCCTAAAGAAACAGGCCTTGGGCAAGGATGAATCACCATGTTAAATATGATAGCATTGTCCACTTAATACCGCGAAGGAGGGATTTGGGAGACAGAACCATTTTCCACCCGGATTTGTGTAATGATTGATTAATGTTTTCTATTAAGAATTTATTAATTGAAGGGAGAAGAAGAGCTTCTTAGATTACGCAATGAAACTAGTTAGATACTGTATCGTTGTGATGAAAAAGTAACAGTAATGCATAGTAATTCTTGAGTAGAAATAATATGTCTTCACTTTCGAAACAACATTCACTAACCATTCGCACTGGCATTTGAGACTGAACGCACTGAGACTGATTCGCACTGAACTTTGAGAAATCCTACGTTAAGCTACTCAAGTCATCGTCAGTCTTTTATCCCTTTGGTTGCGGACTTTGCACCTTTAGATCCCAGGGGTTGTCAGATGGCTACCCATAAAGAAACCTGCGATATGTCGAGTTGCTTTAACTTCCTAACTTCATGGAACTTGGTTAAGCCATCGGCTACCGACATCGTCATAGAGAATTATGTTTTTAGCCTCCCCGGGATATAAACGCGTGAGCCGCCACGTTAACAAAATGCATACTTACAAGTTGTAGTGAACGTCCGCCATGTTTGGGCGATGCTTCAGAGCTACGCGATAGCAGTGCTCCGCCTCTTTGAGTCTGCCGTTCATACTCAGCACGTTACCCAGGTTACCGTAGGCTGTGAACAAGCAGAAACCACCAATTACAATCAACGAAGATTGCACCTTGAGATACAGCTTGACACAACATGAGATACAGCTTGACACGACACAACATGATACAACTTGAGATACGTCAAGTTGGTTTGATTATTCAACACAAAAAATTGTCTTGGAACTTCAGGACAGTACAATTGCTAAGATACCGAGAAACGTGATACTATGTGATGATCATTTTTGTTTTCTTTTAATCTACTGCAAGCCATGTACGTTTCTTTAACCAATAAATTAACTGAAGCTAAGAAGAAGATAAGAGTAGAGTACAAAGAAAGAAAGAAAAGAATGAATCCAAATTTTCCAGAAGAGAGTTTAAAGTTCGAACAGTTGTAGATCCCAAACCTTATAAGGTGTATCACTACCAGTGAACCAACTACCAGTGTACCTAAATAGTATCACTACCAGTGAATTTCATTCCGGGTAATAATAAGAGACCATACTGTTTTATAGAGAAAAAAACTGGGGTACACTCTGAGGAGTGTTATTGATGTACACCATGTACATTATAAGTACATTGAAGAAGAAATTCCGAAGAAAATTGCACTTCTACGTAGACCTACAAAAACTTTTCACAGCACAAGTAAATGCAAATGTTCACTTCGGGAAACTTCGAAAACTGAAGTGAGCGGCCGTTGAGGAATGAAATGATGATGCTCGACTATGTAGTTCTCCAGTCACATGACACAATGTCAAATCTATACAGAGACATACATATATCCTATCTCATATTCCCATCTCTTCCCCTATAGTCAACATTTTCTTCTTTCGAATTTTCACGAGAAATTGTCTTGAAATGCTGTAATTATATGAAACACAATCAGTTCATTTTTTTTAAATTCTCGGTGATTCAATTACAGTTCTAAGCAAATTTAGAAAGAAAATTGTCAAAACAATTATTAACAATTATTTTATGATGAAAAATAACATTAATACTCCTTGTATCACTTCTCCCCAACTGACGATTTTTTTACGTACATTTACAATTTTTTAAATCTAAAGTTAAATCTACAAGTTACAATTTATGCTGTGTTTTTTATTATAGTAATTTTTTATCTGTGCAAATTTCAAATCTTCCCTCGTCCCCCAACAGATATTATAGTAGAAAATTTTTACAAAATCCAAAATACCAATCTTTGGGATAAAGTAATTTTTAAGAGACACTATTTATCAAAATACTTTACGCAAATAAACCACACAAATAACAAAATAAGACTATGTGTTCTTCCTTTGAAAAAAAAATTCTCTCTCAATATCGAAATTTGTTCATTCGTAATCAGTTGTTGTAGTTCCAAATATTACTCAAATAAAAACATTAGATGGATATCACTTTGATTTATAGGCCAGAGTGTACTAATTTCAATGCCTAAAACTTTAACAACCTAGCGCAGAGTAATTCACAAAACCGTAAATATTATAAATTCGAAAAGAGGTGCGCGGCTTAAAATAGAAGTGGTCGCCATTTGTGAACCATGTACAATACATAAAAAAAACTATTTTGACAGCCAAAACATAATGAAAATTACACAGAAAGCAAGGATTTTTTCTGAAGTGAAAAATCTATTTAATCCTGGAGCACTTGAAATGAGACGCCTCTCGGTCATCGCCACATCTATCGATGACCGGGTGCTACGCCCCTGTTGGCTCCACTCTGATGAGATACATTAAGCTATGTGTCGGTCTTTCTCCTTACGTTTCAAAGATTGGACATTGTACCAATCTATTGCTGCTTACGTGAACTCTCTTTAAAATTTGAAATTTTTGACCTTCGAAATTGTTTTCGCTACTTATTAT